TTTATTAAGAAGATGAATCTATAAGAGCATGCATTGTTTATAGAGAATTGAATACAATAATAATTAAAAATGAATATCTATTATCAAGGAGAAATAATTTATTTGATTAGATAATAAGTGTTATTGTGTTTTTTTTTTTTTTGAAATTGATTCAAGGCTAATCTATCACCAAGTAGAGTTAAGAAATTAAGTAAATACAAAAAAAGATTCTTTTGGAATTAGATATGCCCAAAAATTTATTTTAGTTTTAAAAATTCTTCATATATTGATAGGTTATTTATTACTTTCTATGGTTATATTATGATATATCTTATGAATAGTGAAAATCATGTTCAATATTAAAAAGTGATGGATCTATTAAAGATGAACTAATTGCATGTCAGTTTTTTAATGCGTGAATTTTGATTGAAATATATCACATTTATTGGGTACCTAATAAGTGGTGAAATTATTTTAGTGAATCAATATATTTTGAAGCAAAATTAAAATTGTTTATTCCAAAAGAGATTCTAGGGATTCATAACTTATTGGATTTAACTAGATATTGCTAAGGACTTATCATGGGATTCTCACATATAACATTAAAATGATCTAAGTTGATGTAAAAAGATATTAAATTTAAATTTACAAAAGAGTAAGAATATAATTTTTGGGAATTGAAAAATATATTTAACAACAACAATAATATTAGTTATTCCATCAAACACAAAATGAACTTTGATTCATAGTGTTGCATTATAAATTGGATTATGATGCGTTTTTATTTTATGAATATCAATAATAAACAATGTTAGAAAGTATAGTTTTTTTATATGATCATTTATTTAATACGAATTAATATTATGTTCATATAATTTAAGTTACCTGATTATTTCATAATTAATTATGAGTAATTAAGTTTTTCAATATTAATTTATACAATTCAAACTACACAAGATGAATTTTGATATAGGTTGATGATAATGTTCAAATAAAATAATAAAAATATTTGAAATGTCTATAATAATTATCCTAATAATAAAGAAGTCCATAAATCTGAGATAAGATGGTAAATGATGATGACCTATATAAGGAAGTGAAAATTTTCCTTTAAGATGAGCCTTAATCATGGCCAAATAATGCTCTTGACTTTTGATAGCTATTATATTGAAAACCTTCAATATTTTTTAAGGGGACTTTAATAATTGCTACATTGGATCATGTTTAACCCTTGTCGATGGTTACAATGAGCACATGATCATGACCATATGATATAAATGTGTCTAAACTTATATAGATAATATATGAAACTTCTAAGATTAAGGTAATAAAAAAACAAGATTAAAAATGAAATTAACTAGTGTTAACATTTAACTAGCATGGTATATGAAATGATTATGAATTAGACACGTATATTTCATTTCCTTATAGATATTTATGATTATTAGATATGATTGTTTCTTTTGTTTATTTAATTATCAATGCATGCTTTTAATATTAGATTTATTGCCCCGAACTAGTATTGTCCTTGGTTATAAATACTATTGCTGGTTTAAGAGATCAACATGGCATAGTATTTTTTTCTTATAGTTTGAAACAATTAGTATAATTAATTATCCTAATTAGCTTTTAGTACTTCAAATACTATTATGGGTTCTTATTTCAGTCAGATAAAAGGAATGCATTAGGCCATATTCAGATGATATAATTTTATTTTTTAGTTTTATATTTAAGCTGTAAGGTTTTAAATGTATCATAGAAGTGAAATACACACATGTAAATTTAAAAGTTTTAGTATGTATCAGTTATCTATGAAGTTTACTACAAGCTTTGTACTCTATTTTGATGATTTAAATTATGCTCTCATATTAATGGTTGTAAAAGATATTTTAGATAATTTTAAATTACTTTTTATATTTTGTGCTAATGAAAGTAAATCAATTTTCTAATTATGTGATGCTAGTTGATAAATGTTAGAATGGGTGCTAGTGGAAAATATTTTAACTAGATTATTTACTTTGATTTTCTCATGCTTTACTAAAAGTGATCAAAATGAGATGTGACAAAAACCAATGTCTTAGAACTAATAATATGATCATTTGGATCCTTTTTTTTACTAAGCTTAATGAATATTTGGAGCTTTGGTGGAAGATAGAATTTTGCTATTTTAAATACAATTGCATTAAATGGTTGAGATCTATATTTTTTTATGATGAGGTAATGATTGTTTTAGTTGTACTTTCTTAAAGTGGTACATTTTATCAATTTCTGGAGTTGAGACGAGTTCTCTTAAACTTAGTTTTGATCAATGAATGAAAGAATTTTTGTTTAATATAAAAAAAAAGTCTTAGTATATAGAGTTGCTCTTACAACTTACTCTAAGGTTCCATAGAGCACTTTGATCAAATACGCTTCGATTTAACTCAACTGTTAGGCGGTAATAAACTTTTGTTACTCTATTAAAGGAGACATATTCCTTGTTAGTCCATGAGCCCATGATATTATTATACATTTTTTATGATCATAAGTTAAGCTAAAGAATGAAAGACTGATGATTTATTAAGTTAAGTGATTGTAAGTAATATGCACGCTATCAGCTTACATGGAAACATATAGCTTAGTATAGAAAAATAGGGGGTATATTTCATGTATAAAAGCTAAAAAGTATAAAATATAAAAGATAATTTTGATGAAGCAAACAAGTGTGATTTTAATTCATTCTTGGTAAATAACATTTAAGTTTAATCTAAGTTAGGGTATTAAATCTATTTTTATTAAGCCAAAGTATTTAATTTTATCTAGAACATCATAAATTTTTAAATAAAAAATACTTAAAAATATGATTTAATTTTCATGAAACAAATCAATAAAAATTTAAATGGTATAATTCTTCTTTATAAAATCCTACAATCATCCACAAAAGCACTTGTCAATCTCCAAAAAGTGTTATAATGCTTCATAAAACAATTTGAGACTTTGGATCTTAAAAAATAAACTTGATAGACTTTGCAAAATATAATAGGCTTTTGAAAAGTATATTTTGGGCATCTATAATATTAAGTAGGACTCTATAAAGCTCAAAATAATTAAAAAAAGTTTTAATGAAGAGTCTAATTCCTTAAATTAAAATTACATTAAGTGCATTAAGAAATTTGGAGAGATTTCTACTTGGAGAAACTTGGAGAAATTTGAAAAAAGTTAGTTTGACTCCTAGCCATTTAAGACATAAAAATTTCAAGTCTGAGAATGTCATTAACATATCTCTTAAAAATATCATAGCTGTCTCCTCTTCATAATCACCAACATGTGTTTTGATAAAATTTCTCTAAGAGAAGCTAATCAAATCTAAAGAAAGAAAGGATTGCTTGCTTGATCATGATTACATTTGCTTATATATTAGTGATATGTTGAGTTTGCCTTATTCATACACAGACACAAACGTGCATAAGTGACATGAGTCAATTTTTCATAATGTGTTAATTCATGCAAATTGTTCCTTTCGTTTCATGATTTTACCCTTTTGAAAGTTGGATTTATGTTTTGCACGTTTCAGGAGGATTAACATGCAAATCAGAGCAAATTGGGAGAATTTGGGCTTACTTAGCTCGGCGTGATCACACCTACTTGTGTCGTGGCCACACCAGTTATACGACATAGTCATGCCATTTAATGGGTGTTGCCACTCCCCCTTAACAGTGCCCCAGATCTATATGCATAGCCACTCCTATAGGCAGCGTGAAGGCACCACCAAACCCGAGAGAGTGCCATAAAAGGATGTAAGATCCCAAATTTATTTATGAGTGATACAACAACTTACTAATAAGATGAACTAACATAAGAGAAAGAATAAAAGCAAGAAGACGAGAGATTCGGAGATAAGCCCAAGAGTTTCACTTGATCTCGATCATGAAGTACATATCAATGTCAACATATTCCTCATTCATTGGCCTAGTTTGATACTGCAACAAGAATGTATACATAAAATTAAAAGTACATAGTAATGCATAACAAGTACCTATTATAAGTTGAATATATCCAAACAACTTGTCGCTTATCAAAATACATCGAAGCTAAAAATCAGATGAAAATAAAGGATAAGATCTCTGAGAATGAAGCTTATCATAAAGTCTCTAACAACTCATATTGAACTGATTAATAACGCTTATCAAAATACATCGAAGCTAAAAATCAGATCAAAATAAAGGATAAGATCTCTGAGAATGAAGCTTCTCATGAAGTCTCTAACAACTCATATTGAACTGATTAATAACATCACTATGGCCGATGGAGTTAAAGTTCATTGTAATTTGGCAAGCCTTGAAAGCTTCATTCAACAAATTCATCACTAAATTAAAATGCTATTAGTGACTTCAATGAATGAATTCATTGGCAAATAGAACTCTACTCTAGAAAATTTTTAATTGCAATAAATGCTTGCTAATTTAGAGGGTGAACTCTTTTAGATGACTTGGTCTAATTGATGATGACTAGCTAATTACAAATGATAATAATAATAATAATAATAATAGTGCAAATTAATTAATTACATCTAAGGAAGTGTTTGGTAGCTCCTAATAATAGGATTTGTCGCCAGATTTATAAAATCTAGCGAAACATAAATGGTTGACAAGTTCTATGAATTTATGAAATTCCAAACTTAAGGTCTAAATTTTGCCTTCAATTTATCTTAAATTTAGATTTAATAAATTTCACGATGGGGTGTATTTAATAAATTTGTATTTACTAAATCTTGCCAATATTAAATATTGCGGGCAACCAAACACCCCCTAAAAGGAAAAAAATATATATTGCATCACGAGCTAGGTTTGGACAACAAACGTTTGTGATGTACCGGACGGAGTAGAGGAAAAAAAAAAACGCCCCCGATGCATCGCATCTTTTGTCTGTACATAGCTTGCATCCAGACTCAAGGCGCAATATTTTTTTTTACTCTATAAGATATTAGACATGTAAGAGAAAATTAAAATAATTATTTATTTTTAAAAGATTATTGGTGACTTGAAGCAACTAATGGGCAACTACGCCAAGAATCTATCTGTAGAAAGAATGGAAGTCTATCCGCAAACACAACCAGACCAGCAGTAGCTTGCAGCACTATCAAGTCGCCGACCCCCAAAACCTCTACTTTTTCTACGTATTTCTTGCTTTCTTTTGTCGGCTTTTGATTGTTGATCCTCTCAATTTTCTTCGAAGCTTTTTTGTAAAGATCGTCGATGAATTCATCACCATATTTCATCTTTTAATCACGATTTCATTCAGTAATTTGATATATATGTCTCAGGGGATCGTCGACAGGAGAAGCGGAGACTAGATTAGAACTGCTAAGGAGGCAGGAGAAATTTACTGGTCTTTTATCATAGATGGGTAGGCTTTTTCTGGTGAATCTTGAAGGCAAGTGCTATAGCTGCAAGCACTGTCAGGCTCATCTGGCCCTCAGTGAAGACATCGTCTCCAAGGTAAATTTCATAATCTCTTACATTTTTTGGTTCCATATTTTAAATTGGTCGGGTCTTTGCAACTCACTTTGTTTCATCTTGGTCTGTTTTGCGGCTGAAATGTTCTTGATTGTGATGTTGATCAACTATGATGGTCTTTGGTGATTATTTTTGCTCAATTTGGTGGTGTTTTGATAGCTTGTTCTTGTCTGCGCTGCAACTGTTTCTTCCCAGTTGCAGAACTTTATGTTTCTGATGAGGTTGTGCTATTTTGATTGCAAGGGGTTTTGGGCTTTTTATTTGCGCGGGTGATTACTCTTTGAAACTATAACTAGTAACCCCTCTTTGCCATCCTTCAGGATCACTCAGGTGAGATGAAGAGCTCCATCGGGATATTTTGGGAAGGGCAGCTGAATGGTGTACTTATTTTTTATGTTTTGAGTGCGGACAAGTGTTTTATTTGTGCTGACGGCTATCATTGGATAGAACTGCAATTGGAAAAACTAAGTGGCTTGGTTAGCTTGAGGAAGAA